AAAAAAAAAAAACAATTGGTTTTAACGCTAAGACACTTTAAATAGACAGGGAAAGATCCATTTTCATAAGTGGAATATGCTTACTAGTAATCCAGGATAAATCTGTGTAACAAACGTTTAGGGGCGCGGTTCTTTGAGGCGACGTAGACGCAATGATTCAGTGTCAATCCGTCACGCTAGGGCTATGTGTAACATTATGTATAATTATGTGTATATGTACTGGAAACAAGTAGATTTTAATCAAAGCTGATCAAGTGCTTCATGTAAATGATGAAATAAACATATTATTAGAAAACCGTTTATCTATTATTACTTAACTAGGAATATTTGTTCGCTCTTTGTATTTCCCGCCGTTTCTGTTTTTGTGGTTTAACTTTTAAATACATGAAATAAGAGATGCAAGTGATTAAATTTACTACACCGTGGTTTTACATTTCCACGCAAGATTGCCAGTCGTTCCAGCATTCACGTGACGTTGATATAGCACATTAGATAAAGGTTTACTCTTCATGCATAGGAGCCAGCTGGCTCATCAGGCTGGAGTTATATATCTCCTGTTTCTGTAGCATGGAGCGACTAGGAATATTCCTACTCCCCCCTCTCCTGGATAGAACGCTAGTCCATCGCAGGGTTACCCCTGCCCCCCAGCATTAAATTCGTCGGTACCTATTATACACCTGGGCGTAAAGAGCACTTTCAGAGACAAGTGTCTTACCCAAGAACACAACGCAATGTCCCTGCTAGGATGCGAACCGAGACCGCTCGAGTCTAGAGACGAGCGCACTAACAGTGAGGCCACCGCACCTCCCGGTTGATAGGGTAGTTAGTAAAAATCAAGATAAGCTGAAGGAATAGCTCTTATGAGACCACCCTTAACTGTGGCATTCCATCACCGTGGTCAAATTTTCCCAATCTTGTAATTTTTTTTCCCCTTCTCCGCGTCCTCATCCAAAAAAAAAATGGCTTGTGAGTTAAAAATCAAGCTTTCATTGTATCACCTCAAGACTAAATAAAGCTGGGCTTGTTGAGCCAAGAATACACAGGTGTTTTCACATGACGTCACGGCAGCCATATTGGTGTCCAGACATTGAAACGGCTGGACATATAATTCATTGTAGGTCACCACAGTCACACATCAATTCTGTAAGAGTTGAACTCTTTTCTTTTTATGTTAACGCTTTCGTTTAACGTTATTACGTTCCTTTAAAACAAAGTACAATGTGCGTAGTGTTCCAGTTAAGGCAGGTTAACATGGTTTTTCAAACCTTCGCATAAACTCGTTTGCATTACCGAGCATGTGCAGTGAACACTTTAAAAAAGTCCGTCGGGTCGTTTTCACGATGTTTGAAACAACTCTAAAAATCAAAACCAAGCCGTTCTAGGCCTCAAGACACATTTTGTAACGACTTTGCAAGCATTATCATCGACTTAGTATCCATCTGTCATCCATTTATAATCATTACGCAAAAACTAGTTTATTTGTTTTTGCGATTTATTCCAAAACCAAACGTACAGAATTGATTTCGTCTTGCATACCCCATTTGTAATACAGCGTAGTTTAAGTCATTGGTATTTTTTTTATAGTAAATATAAGATTTATTGATTAAGATTTTCTTTCATCGTCAATAACTAGTGATTTTTTCCCCCTTCATTTTTCACTTCGATCTGATTAACCGCTAAAATGAAAATGTTCGGCGGCTCGGGAAAAACTGCACGCAGACACCTTGAACGCAAGAATAGCCAAACTATTAATACCTAATCACACCTTTCTGTTGCGCTCCGCGCTCCGCGGAATATCAGGCGACTTTGCCCGACGTACTCTGGCCACTACTTATAGCGAGACCAAAAGAGACTCAAAAGCCGGGCGCGGGAGGGAGATGGGAGGAACGCACCAACAGTCTCCTGGATGCACTGACTCGGTCCCGCTTCTAACACATGAAATTGTCACCATCCTCCCCGAGCAAGTTGATTCAAAACTGCCTTTAAAATTTAATTACAATAAAACCCACGATGTTATTTCGGAAAATAGTCCCACTCCTCCACCAGTCCAAACTGAACAAGATAAAAAAAAACGAATTTATTAAAAACAAGGGAAGCAAAATGTTTAATAAAACGTTCTTTAATTTTTCTGAATAATAACGCCAGGCCTTTGTGTCACTTGTTCGCCTTTACCCAGTCCCAGAGTTTCGTTAACTCCTGCAAAGAAACAAACAGGCCTGCTTGAGGAATATAAAACGCGCGCGTGATCAAAATAAGCGTATGAAATAATGCGTTTCTGTCTCGACTAAAGACTCCTCTCTGATTCTATCTAGCCTGGAAGCTACACTAATCTCTCCGGAGACCAAGAGAAATAAAAATACAAATCCAAATACAGTTGAAACGGTTAAAGAATCTTTCCGTCGCGTTTCTGGATCAAGAATCATTGCATGGTAAGGTAGGGCGTTGATTTTTGTTTTTCCTCTAGTTCGGCAGACGATGGTACACTAAGGCCACGTTTTACTGGAATCAACCTTTGGTTTGGGTTGGTTGACTTCCTTCGTGCTCCATTGGGAGGATACTCTTTGGAACTTGCGGTTGACCAAAGTTAAATGAATATAAAGCGAAAAAGACTGACTGACCCCAAATTGCATTCAGTCTCGACAACAGTCCGCATTATCAACAGAACTATACTAAAATCGATACATGAGTAGACTTTTGCATCCCCTTGGCCTATCAATAGCAAGAACTTAGCATATTCTCCCTTCACCTGTCTACTTAAAAATAACCATTTTCGAGTTACAGTGTATAAAAGTACGCCTGAAGCTTGTCTCATTTGAACGTACATGTACAGTACTCCCGTTATGGGAAATCGAATTTTTTTCCCTATAACCACTTCAGTCACTGCCTACATGTAATTAACAAGATTTAATTATCTTCACATCATCATTTCTTACCAGTTATATCGATTAATTAATTATTTTATATTCTCGAGTTAGATAAAGTGATGATCACTGTAAGAGTAGTAAGAGTGACATGTAAAAGAAGGACTGGAAGTACTTACAGCTTCATCTGTGACTTTGTGCGAATGCTTCAAGTAGTTCTTAAATTTGTCCACTTTCTTTGGAAGATTTGGCGTCTGAAAACAAAGCAGAAACACAATCAACACCTATTGACTGAGATTTTTTGTGATGTCCAGATCAAATCGAAGGCAAGGTGAGAGTTTAGACCATGCAGTCTGTTTTCCTCTTGTTTGTCAGAAAGGGAGTGCGGGACAACATTTCTAGACAAGAGGGGATTGGAAGCGAGAAAAGGGTGTGGCACCTACGGGAGACCTCTTGCCCCACACCTCAACCCATTATCGTTTCAAGCAAATTTGACAATACTTTTGGATTTATCTCTTCCCGTGCTAGACGAAGGATACCATGTTTACCATCTGATATTCATTAATCAAGGAAATAGTGATTTTCAGGTATTACGCGTTCAAACTGGAGCATCGGATATTGCATTTTCAGACTTAGACAGATTAGTTTAGCAGCCATTTATGAAGATCTCAAAGTAAAATTTGCATGATGTAACAATTGTTATGGTTACTTGAAGAAAAAAAAAAGACAAGAATTCATCAACTTGTACAGCTAAGTTGGATGCAAAATGAATGTTTACAGCTTATTTGGTGCAATGTGCCTTAGGTAGCATGGCGAGTTGGAACAGTGCACTGGCACAGACATGCAACTGAGATCTGTAGCACCTAGGTCCTAAGTTGTTGTATAGTTAAGACCTCACTAACCTTCAGTAACTTTTCTTTTATTTTGTCCATGTCGAGCTGAAAAAAAAAAAAAAACAGACATACACATAACTTACAGTTCATCCCGCGTGTGATTTTTCTAGCTCTCAGGTTCAATGTGTTATTTTTACAGGAAAGTAAGGCCAGTGTAATTTAACAAAAGTACTAACTTTATCGAGATTTGTGTTGAAAAATAACACGAAAACATTCTATCCATTTTATGACAAAGATTTGAGATAATTTTGAAGGTAAATAGGCCTGAAAAGCTGGTTGATTTTGTCAATGAGCCTGCCTAGTTTTTCCTTACATGTAGCTGCATTGCTAAAGACATGAATTCATACCTAGTATTGTAGTTGGT